TAAATTCATCCACACAATTTCATATCTAATGGTTAGTATTAATTGTGACTATCTTGTACCAAAAGTAAAAATTCTCATTATATACTTTTCTATAGAGTAATATCAAAAAAAAAAAAATGTACTTAAAAATAATAATGTCTTGAGATTGAATAGAGATCATCCAAGTTTTTAGATAGAGAGCTATGACTATTGAAAAACTCAAATTTTAAAATTTTTATTCGACAATAATCATTTAGTAATTATTAAGTGATTCCTAAAATTTCATACTCTCCAAGGTGGGCCTTCTGACGCTATGCTCTTGAAGGAGCATGGTATACGATGCTCTTAAGCGAGAAAGCACTAATAGATTCCAAATTCCATTATCATAAAATTAGTATTAAAACGATCGGCAGGTTTTCAAAAATTGATCGACTAACTCGAGATCGGTCACTAGCCGAACCCGATCTGGCCCGATTCCAATAGTCATGTATGCAAGATTTTTTTTTTCAATGCACTAATCGAACTAATCGGCCGATTAGTACACTAATTGGTGATTTGTTCTAAAAATCGGCCGATAAGTGCATTGTCATCGTGCAAAGACTGCGAAGCTGTCCTTATAGCATTTTTTATATATTTATCCTTTTCTTTTTATTTTCCCTATTATTCCATGGACATGGTTTTTATGCGGCTAGCCCGCATATTGTAGAAATGCAGGCTTGGTAATAAATATATATATTTTAAATATAATTTGATCTCAATTTTTAGAGAATATATAATCTTTAACATGGAGATCATGAATACGAAAAGAAAAAATTGAAAACTAAAAATAATAATTATATTAAAAAAACATTTGGACCATTAATTACACTTGTTTTTAGATGGACTACCTATTTGCATCCATCTTTAAGATGGATGCTTTATACCTTTGGGCCGCATATTGTAGAAATGCGGTCCAACCCGCATGAAACAATTTTCTTCATTTTTTTTTGACAAAAAAAGATGAGTTAGCTTTTTGAAGCATGAAACAATTTTCTTTGTTCTATTTCTCTACTTAAACCTTTATATATTATGGCAAATTTTTTATTTGCTAACTGCAGGGTTTGCCGCCTTGGGCGAGTAGACTCAGACGCATCAGTGTTGGTTGGAGACGACATGGTGCCAAGCCCGTAGGTCCCTCAACTCAGGGGATATAAAAATTATTCACTGTTCATCTGATTTGATCTTCAATCTAATACCTACACCACTAACCCTCGAGGGGCACATAGATACACATAGACATAAATATGAAAGAGAGAGAGAGAGAGATGGAAATTTATCAAAATTGTCACAAAAAGACGAACAATTTTATAGTTTACCTAAATTTTTAAATTGAATTCCAAAATACCCAAAAAAAGGTATTTAGTTAAAATATTATAATATTTTATAGTATTATATTATATATTTATTTTATTAATGTAATTTATATTATATTGATTAATTATATATAATATATAATATATAATATTAATGTATAATTATTATATATTTATCGTTGAAAAGTCTTGCTTCTAGTGCCTAATCATTTTCTCTGAAATCCAATTATGCTTATAATATTTAATTTTTTATTTTTTATGTGAAAATATAAAAGAATAATATATGTAAATTTTAAACGTTTTTTACAATTTTTTTGGACACTTTTTTGGGAATTTTTTTTACCAAAATTATATTTTTCAAAAAAACAAAACAAAAAAGAGCACTAATCTGCTGATCTAATCGAAATCGGTCAGACTAATCAGATCGGGCTAGGACCGACTAGTTAGCTCGATCCATTGTTTTGAACACTACATAAAACTATCTAATACAAACACAGTCGCGACCATCAATGTGGAAGTTAGTCTAGGAAAATGGTATGATGGGGTTGCAACCCTAGCAAAATAAATAAAGCTTCACCTCATAGCGCATCGAAATTGCACTTCAAACGTTGAAAAACTTGGCTTGAACATTATGGCTGTGGAAAAAAAATTAGGGTTTCAAGCTGTAAAAATAGTACGTATTGTAACAAATTATTTAGACCATATGTTTCCCCTTAAAAATTAGTGCTCATAGATCTGCAAGTTCTTTACCATTTTTTGAGTTGTATTGGAACTTAATTTTAAAGCCAAGATTTTCATTGCAAAGAGTGCTTTCCGGACAAGAATTTGAGACGAGATAAAATTTTGTTTTCATAAAGCCTTGGCCAGATAAAAACCTTGTCCAATATTACAAGTGCCTATCTACAATTTTGGAGGTACCATAAAATCAAATAAAAAAAATAAAGAAAAGTATACAAATAGACTATTTACTTTTAGTATAAAGATGTCACAATCATTATTGTCCGTCTAATTTAAAATCAAGTGATTGTAAATGTACTTGTGACTAAACTCAAAGCCCAACAAATTTTTTTTTTAACTTCGTGACATATCCTAAACCATCCAATTGAGCATCTAATTACTGGAATTAATGGTGACTAAAGATAAGTGTTGTCATAGAATACACACCCAAAAATAAACGAAATCAATCGTGGACATCAACTTTGGCGACCGTCATTCAACCCCAGCCATATTAAAAACCTCCTTCCATCCAACAACCGACGCAATCCGTCAACCCACTTCCCTAACAATTATTCAATGTTTCATCTCGCCCCAAACCCTTTCTAGGGGTGGGAATTGGTCGAATTATGGATAGGGTCCAACTCAACTGTACTTGGACGCCAGCCATCGGGTCGGGTTTGGTTTTGGTGGTGAGCCAGGTTCATGTATTGGCATATAACTATAAAATATAAAAAAAATTTATATTGTATAGTTCAATATTAATTATCTATATTTAATTCTAATATGTATGGGGTTAAGTTGAGTCCAACCCAGAATGACACAACCCGATGTGATCCAAGTTGGATTAGGACCTAGACCCAACCCATCGGGTCTACTATATGCGTCTACACCAGGACCTAATTGGGTTGACTTGACCATTTCCCACCCCTACCACTTGCCAATGCCACATACATTAGTTAAGAGAATCCTTTTAACCTCTCATAATTGTACACACACATGGCTAGAGGTGGCAAGGTGCCTGGTGACTTGGCCCAAGCCCAAACTGGTCATCCCAGCCCTAAAATTGAGGGTCTGGGCAACAAAATGTGGCCCGAGGGCTAGACTAAGGTTGGGCCATCACAACACGAGGGTAGAGCCGTGCTGGGCCTAGGCTAGGGCCGATCTAGTTCGGCCTTGGAATGACCCTTTTTCCTTTATTTTTAGCCATCATGGCCCTGTCTAGCCCCCCTTAATAGGGCCACTGCCTCTTAAATAGGTCCTAGTTAGGGCAGCCCTATGAGACTAGATAGGGCTACAACAAAGGTGGCCCTGCCCAAGGCCAACCTATTACTAGCCCTTTACATGCCCTCAACAAAAGAGTAAGTGAAATGAACACTTTTCAAAACAAATAAAAAATAATAATACAAAAATAGCATTTATTTTTTATATAAGGAGGTCACAATCACTTTTATCTCTTATATTTCAAATCGAATAATTGTGAGTGTGTTATTAACTAGACTGACAGTTAAAAAAAAAAAATTTCACTATGACACAACTCAAGCCATACAATTTGATATCTAACGGCTAATAGCAACTGCGAGCTTCTTATGCTAAAGGTTAATGATCTTGTAGTACCCAGGCCCATAAAACAACTTCTCCCCAAATGAATCAAATGTCGAGGAACCTAAGTTTGTCACTCTTATTAAGAAGTTTGTTACTCCTATTAAGTTAAGTGCAATATCACGAATGGTTATCTCTGTCTTCGAAGTTTGGTTTGAACGTTTAGTTGATTGTGTTGGCCTGTGGTCGAACTTTGGGCTTGGCTTCGCATGAAGCTATTAAATTATACACGTATAGTGTAATCTCACGGGAGCATACTGAGCAAAAGAGGACTCTATTTTGGAGTTTTGGGATCGAGTTTTAGAATTACCAAATAATTATTTTGAAAACAAAGAGCTTAAGTTCTTTAACACTTACATGCCACTGTCCATATTCTTTAATTTTGAATATTTATTTACAATTATATATCATAAGCCCCATTACATTGGATATAAGATGGGCACAATCACTTTTGTTTCAAAAAAAAGACCGAAAGAAGCCACCATCACTACCGGCTTTCATAACTCAAAGAGTGCCAGCTTGAATAAATATTATTGTATAAAAAGCATAAGTGAAACTGCCTAACTGCATGTAATCGCTAAAGAGGCTTGTGAGCTTCTAATATCATATTTAGACCATAAACTATCTCATTGTATTATTCTCAACTATTGAAAGTCAGCTACATGAATTTTAGTCCGTTATTTTATCAGTGAGAACATAATTCTCCATATTTTTAAACTATATCGTTATATATTTTTTTTAATTTTAAAATTTTAATTTTTTTTTTTCAAGGTTTCCACGAGCTGGAAGTACAGGAGATTACAACCAAAATTGGCTTCTAGAAACGCTGCCATTGTCATTTCGCCTTAGAGTGTGAACGGTGGATGTGATCCCGACGGGACCAAAGAATCTTTCGATATTTTTTTTAAAGGGTGGCATATGTATAGAGCTTAGGCTCTAAACAATCAAATTAGAGCCCACCCCCTTTAAATAGTGTTGAAAAATGTGGTTTTAATATTAAAAATCTTTGTGATAGTTTTAAAATATATTTTCATTTCTAACTATAAAATCTAAAGCTTAAAAATTAGCATAGATCAAGCATATTTATAAAAACTTGAAAACCGACAATCCAAAAATACATTACAAAATATACTATTTTCAAGACTTGAAATCTGTCTTTTTTCTAATGTCCATATATCTTGAGGTAGAATGAAGATATTTGAGCATCAAAACAATTTCTTGAAAATTTCGAGGTAGGCTTTAATTTGATTGTTTAGAGCCTCGGCCCTATATAAACTTTTCCTTTCTTTAAATATATAGACGTTTCAACCCTTTTCTCAATAGTAGTGTAAAGCTGTAAGAGAGTTCGTCACGTATTGCTCTAAGAAACGCGGACAGCGAAATAGTCAGTCTACCTCTCGCTCTAAGAAAGAGAGTCACTAATTGCTCAGCTCCTAGAGAGAGAAAGTGGTCCGTTTTAGAGAGAGAAAGAGAGCCCATTTTAGAAAGCACGCCACGCCCCTTGCATTCTGTCAACCCCGCGTTTTTGGTAAATTTCAGACCGCCTTCGACAGTCCCCGGTTTTTCCCGCCCACGATCTGCGAATTTCACCCCTCTGTTTCTCTCTCTAATTCAATTACTTTATCTCTCTAGTAGTTATATGACTGCAATCCGGTTCCTTTCTCTCTCCAACAATAAATACACGGGCCAATTATGCAAGTTCATTTCTTGGGTTCTTAGGTGTATCTCATAGAGAGTGTTGCAGGTCTCTTGAAATGGATGTTGCAGAGAAGAGGAGACACTGGCGATGGGGTTGGGCTCTGGGAGCTCTCCTCGTTGTCCTTTTAGCCACTGCCGTTGCTTCGAGAAATGCCCCCAAATTCTCGCTCTTCGGCATCTCCAATAAGCCTTGCCAATGCCCCGTACATCTCTATCTCTATTTCTCTGAGAAAGTTTTTCTCTCCTATTGTTCTCTCTCCTCTCCGGTTATTTAATTATTATCTTCGTCTCTCTCTCTTCTTGCTGAATTATGTTTTCTCCTTGAATGGCTGTGGATTTCTCTGTTTTTTGGGTTTGCATGTTTGGTTTTAAACTAGGGTTATTGGTTGCAATTTTTTTGCAGGAGTCAAGAAAGTATACAGGATTAGTGGAGGATTGTTGTTGTGATTATGAGACGGTGGACGCTCTTAACCAAGAAGTCTTACATCCCATACTCCAAGAGCTTGTTGCCACCCCTTTCTTCAGATACTTCAAGGTTTTATTTGATCTAATTCTTGTTTAGAACAGTTTTGAGATCCTTATTGAATTCTTGGAAATTTTCTGTTCTTACCCATGTCAGTTGTTATTATTTGAATCTGGACTTGGTTTCTTGGATATTGATATTACCCTTGGATTTATAATAAGCCTTTTTTTATCTTTACATCGTCTCAATTTTTCCTCAGAAATTATTGTAATTGGACAAGAATTTGTGAATGGTATGTTAACTGTTGTTCACAGGTAATTTTGGGCAAAATTGTGTTGGGAGAGAATATCAAATTGGGTCCTGTACTTGGTTACTGATTGCATCTCTAGTTCTATTATATGATTGATTGCCTTTATGATCTTCAATGGAAAATTATTGTAGGAATTAATGATGTGAAGAACACTTTTGTCCCTTTTCTATCCATAGAGGAAAGGGTTTGTATTTATTTTTACTTTGATTGCATTCTGGTCTATGTTTGAATTATCTGTACGCTTATTCACTTATTTTTCTTTTATAGTTCATTTGTTAGGACATATTTATTAGTCGGTATATCATGACGTCTTATAAGTTCATACTGCACATGTGGGAACTTCTTCTCGAACAATTAGTATTTTGAGGAAGTAAACAAATTACTTGATGGACTTTGAGAACTTTGAGAACTTTGAGAAGAGAACCGACACACTCCAGTGGTCCTTTTTTGATATCTGATGGCGGAATGATGTGAAACAACCTAGGAAACTTAAGCACTCTCACTGTATACAAAGTACAAACCCAGTTATTTTAAGGTTGTGCGTTATGGATCTAAAGAATATTGTTGTTTGACTCTATGGTTGCAATAGGTTAAGCTGTGGTGCGACTGCCCTTTTTGGCCTGATGATGGGATGTGCCGCCTTCGAGATTGCAGTGTATGCGAATGTCCAGAAAATGAGTTCCCTGAGCCATTCAAGAAGCCATTTCACAGGCTTTCTTCGGATGATTTGATATGTCAGGAAGGAAAACCACAGGCTACAGTTGACCGAACAATAGATGATAAGGTGTTCAAAGCTTGGGTAGAAATTGACAATCCTTGGACCTATGATGATGAGACCGATAATGGTTGGCACTGCTCTTTCATCCTTTTGCCTCTTCTAATACCTGTTGTCTTTGCTTAGTTATTCAGTCTAGACAGTGATTCATTTGCCTAAACCATTTAATTCCCCTTGCAGCTGGAATGACATATGTGAATCTTCAGCTAAATCCAGAACGGTACACTGGCTATGTCGGGCCATCAGCCAGAAGGATATGGGACTCTATATATAAAGAAAATTGCCCCAAAGGTACTTTTTCCAGTTGATGGATTGAATTTCTTGGAAACTTAGAAGGGACTTATGATGGTCACTATATGTTTAATGTGCTTCTATTATGCTATTATCTGCATGATAATTGTTTCATGAGATAATCTCTTTTGACTTTATAACATCAGGACATTGCGGGTGGTCAGGGATGCTACCATATTCTTGTGTTAGCATGCATAACATTGAGTTCTTTTAAGATATGGTACACCTATTTGTGTTAATTTAGAAATTTAATCTTTTCTTCTTTTACCTTCTCTCATGTTGCCGTGGCTGCATAATTAAATATGCCTTCTTCATGTGTTTATGCTTCTCATCCAATTTTTTTTTTTAATTGGTTATACTGCCCACTCTTATTACTGCTAAATTCTTCATGATTATACCCTGTTTCTTAACAACTTCAGCAATGTTGTTAGATTGGCCAAGTTTTTTCTTCCAGATTCTTTAGTGAACATGACTATCCCACTTATTGTCGATCACTTTGTTTATTTGCTGAGTATACCTTGATCCTTTTTGTCATTCGATCTCTCATTATATTGCCCTAGGGAATGGGCTCAAGGTATTTGTGGTCAGGTGGCGGGTGCCATAACATGACATCTAGAGTGACTTATGTGGTAATTGGTATTTAAATTGATTCAATATCTGTAATGTATTAGCTTTCCGGGACTCTGTATCCCATGATAACCTTATAAAGAGTAATAGAGTTTGTGTTCTACCTTCTAATCTTTATTAGATTTAATTGTCTAACACAGTTAATCTGTAAAATAAAGCAATCCATTCCATCGCATATAGCATATCGAAAATTACAAACTTTAAACTCCAAAAAGTTTATAAAAGAATAATCAACTCTCTAACTCTTAAATAACACATTTTCAATCCTTAGAGTTTTTGAGTATTAGCATATTTCCATGCCGGATTCTTGTTACTTGAAGATGATGAAGGCATCAACCTCAAAAAGTACTAGGAAATGAAAAACATACAAAACAACCCAATGAAAATTTGATTTCTACACAGCCCATGAAAACCCTCAATTAGTTGCTGAATCTTTGCTCAAATACCTTCCAACTAATGTCCAAAACAAAAAAGAAAAACAAATTTGCACATGCTTGTGGGCTTATTTTTTGTCTATGAGCACAAAGTACATATGTAGGTGCATCACTCGTGATGTGATGGGTGCGATGCGGCCAAATATGTGGATGGTGCGCCACATGTGCAGGTGCATCACATTTATCTGCATATGTGGGCGTGTAGGCCACATATTGGAGAGTGCCAAACAATGCCACAATGCCATTTACTTCTCATTAGTGACCTGGGGAGTTGTTTTTTCGTTCTTTTTTTTCTTCTTTTTTTGTTGGGGAGAGGGAATAGATTTATTTTAGAATAAATGGTGCATCCAAATTGGGTCTTATTATATAGGTTACTAAAATTTACTCTTGCTCTCACTCTCCACTTCACATTTAGAAGTGTTGTTCAAGTTGACCTCGCGCAAACCAATCTGACGTACCCAAAGAAACACTTTTAGAAGTGTCTAAATCTAAATGATTGTCCCTGCACTCAAGTATGGTCGGGGTTCAAACTAAGCAATAAGTAAAGACCATAAAGAGATGGACCATCGACAAGGCAAAAGCAATCATGGGTCTATACCACATTACATGTGGCCCATACAATCAGTGATTCTTGTTCAAGGCATGATCTATACTCCTTTTACACCTCAGCCTCCTTGAGGCATGTGCCTCTTGGGCTTTGTGCTTCATGGGTCTGTCTCAAGTGTGTCTATGGTGGGGGCCTAAATCCAAGTCACTTATTAGGAAATTGCTTGCTCTATGCATAAGAAGCTTACAGTGGGATGTTCATACCTCAGCGTATTCTTTAGGTCATTAGACATGCTTTTTGTGCACAATAGGCTTCTTGACACATACCCTTTGGACTTTTCACCTAAAGGGTTCGCCATGAGGTTTTTGCGGCAGTCCTGGCTTGATCCCATCTTCATGCATGTCTGGCTTTAATGGAGCTGGATCCGACCCAGTTTAGAAGGATCAATTCTAGACTTAATAAAAACCCATGATGAATAAAAAAAGGGAAAAGTTCATAAAGATCCTAGGCTCTAAGCAATCAAAATTTTTACTAGAAGCGGTTGTTTTGATGCCCAAATATCCTCAAATCGTTCATCTCAACATCAAGATGCATGGAAATAAGAAAAAAGTGGATTTCAAGGTTTGGAAATAGTGCATCTTGTAACGCATTTTTGGACTGTCAATTTTCAATGTTTTCAAGTATTCATAGATTTGCTCGATTTACACTATTTTTGAAGCTTTAAATTTTATAATTAAAGATGAAAATATATTTTAAGGCTATCACAAAGATTTCCAATATTAGAACCACATTTCCCGATACTATTTGAAGGTGGGCTCTAATTTGATTGTTTAGAGCCTCGGCTTTATGCAAACCGCACCCATAAAAAAATGTAGACAGAAAATACCAAAGTCGAATGTTTTTTAGGACAATACAACATTACAATACTTTTGGCTCAATACAACACTACAATAGTGTTGGCTTACTTCTAATGATAATTATCATTTTCAACCAATACTTCTTGGTGTTCATCATGCAGAGACAACAAAGTGAAGTTGAAATTTGTCAAGAGATTACAGAAGCAGAATACTTTTGGCAGGCATCTTATTTAACTTGTTCTTTGCAACCTACTCATCTTGGCTATATCATCCTGATGGATCAGTAATTTTTTGGCCCTGCAGGATTTTAACCAGCGTAGAAGAATGCATTCTAGACTCTTATTTAAAACGAAAAGAGTTAATTCTAGACTTATTGAACCATGATTAACTTCCCCTAGTTTTCATAATCTCTGAAACATGCAGAGACGAATTATTGAAGTCAAATATGTTCAGTACAATTCAGAACCACAACACAGTAGGCACACCTTTGATTGCACATTTTCTTTCAACCAACCCATCCTGGTTTTCAATCCCCACCAAAAAAGAAAAACATGTACACGTGCACAGAGGAGAGAAAGAGCTACAATAACCGTAACTGCAGATTAAAACCAATTTAACATTGAGAGATCAAAATGGTGAGAAATATACCGCAATTCCCCAAACCTTCCCATTCCCCATCTTTAGTTATGTGCTTTGTACAAGGATAAGTGTAAGCATCCATGGTATTATGCTTCTGTAATCTACTCAAGGGTATTCCTATGCAGTATGTACTCTACTTCTGCACTGTCTTAATCGGTATTTCACTTCAATGTTTTGGGTTATTTAGTCGTCATGAAGACTAGGATGAGTATGTTAAAGGTTTAAGTTGTAATCAGAAGTGAGCCAATGGCATTGAGATTGTGGATTGTCTTCATGACAATTAAAAGTTTAGGATTTTGTTTTTGCATTTTGAACACTAGGAAGAGTCGGTTGAAAAAGAAATATGTTCAGAAGTGCACCAACAATATTTTGGTTGTTTATTGTGTTGAACAGCATTCCACTTCAATACTTTGTTTGCATTTTTCAGTGAAAATGAACACTAAGGGATTTAATAATCGATTATCAATAAGTCTATAATTGATTCTTCTATCCTGGTTCAAATTAAGTTCAGACCAATCCGTCTAAGATGAGTAGGTTGAGAGAGATAATTGAAATCAAAAGCTCAATTATTATTCTGCGTTCAAATTCAATATTTTGCCTCTGCATTATGAACATCGTGATGAATTGGTTGAACACGACAGTTTGATAAGAAGTGGACCAATGGTGTTGTAATTCTGTGATGTCCTTGACAGTATTTTACTTCAATATTTTGTCTCTGGAATTTTCACTCATTATGGACACAGGAAGTTTAACAATGGGTTATTTATTAGTTAGTCTGCCGTGGAGTCACTATTTACAGGGTAAATACACCCCCTATTCCATTCAATCAAAGGCTTTGGTGTCAATTCCTGGAGGGAAAAATATGACATCCCCCACTTCATTGAATCGATGCTCTTTTAGATTTTATTCCAATCCAATACCTTGTTAGTATTATGCAGTGTTAATGTTCCAATTAGGGCATCATGTATCAGACCAAGGGTTTTTTTTTTTTCATCACATGAGAATAAAGGAGAAGAATGTCTTCTAGTTATCTTCAATCATCTTCTTACTACTCTTTCTAAATGGAATTTGACCATCTCTTGCCAAGCTTCATCGCATTGAAAATGTTAGGATATTGTTCCAAGCAGAAATGGTTAGGAGTCTCCTCCTTGAAGCTGCGTGTGATCATCTCTTTCTTTGAGGCTGGTTTGCTGGGTTTTGAACCTTCTATCTTGGTTGAAAGAAAGAAAGAGGAGAGACTTTTCTTATGTTGAAAGAAAGGGCCTTTATTTGCTCTCTGCCTGATAAACTGACGCAACTTCTATGGTGTAAAGATAGAACACCTCTCTTGGTGGTATCCTGATTGGTCTTATTTGCACAGTTACTAAATAGGATTTCTTTGGATAAATATGAGTATCCTAGCTGCGTTTTATTTGGGGCATCTGATGCATCCAAGCACATCCATAGGCTCTCTCTAGAATAACACCATTCTAATGGTCAAGCTAAAAAAGCTCGTTGCAAAATTTATGACCATAATTACTCTTGTTATAATAAATTCCCATGTGTTATATTGAAAAGTAATCATAAATGATCTGCAAATGAATTCTAAAATTCAAATGAAATTCTCTCTCCTGTGATTCCTTGCTATCCAAGAGGAGGTTTGAAGTATCTTCAAAATTACATATTATAGTCTCCATTAGAAATCGAAGCACTATAGTGTAGATGTAGTTTCCAGTCAAAATTCTGGGAGTAGGGCTATTCCACAATTTTTTTGAAACTATTAACGTTTGTATTGAGTGAAAAGAAGGAAACAAATAAAGTAGGGATATTTCACCATTAGAATGGTATATTGCAAAAACCCATAGACATGCTTTCACATACATATGGGCATAGAGAAAAGGTGATGCCCTTATCAATTCACAAACTTCTTATGACACGAGGTGCCTGATCCTCAAGTGTGAAGTCAGTATGCTTTGAAACAAATATGTACCATGTCCTCCCTTTGTTTTTGGTAAGAGAAAGAAAAGGGAGGTTTGTTATCAAAAACAAAGAAAAGGGAGGTCATAGTGCAGTTTTCAACAGATAATCCTTGTTGTATCTAATATTTAATTTATAATTATATAAGATCAAAAATTGTGTAGGTCATTTAATTTGTGTTTAGCTGAGTGTTATGGGCTAATTTCCTTTTTCTGGGAAGATCAGTGGGGAAGGGGCCCCTACCCGTGATAGGAATGGAACTCAAGACATACCACCATCCTGACCACCTATGCCTTGAGCTAATTTCTTATGCTCAAATTTTTCTACGCTCAAATTTTTACATAAGGCAGATTTTTGATTAATGTGTTTGTGCAGGACCACCTGGGGAACTTTGTCCGGAGAGGAGAGTGTTATACAAGTTGATATCAGGGTTGCATTCCTCTATATCTGTTCACATAGCATCTGATTATCTCCTGGATGAAGTCAACAATAAGGTAAGTTTTCTCATCTGTTTCCTCTATGGGCCAACTTACAAATTTATGTATTTTTTTCATTAGTACGTACCAAGTTTATCTGATAGAAAGTCTGCACATTCTTTTATGTTTTTAATTGCAGTGGGGTCAGAATCTTGAGTTGCTGTATGACCGAGTTTTAAGAAATCCAGAACGTGTGAAAAATTTGTACTTCACATTCCTTTTTGTGCTTCGAGCTGTGACAAAGGTGTGTTTCTATGCTCTTTTGGTTTCTTTTTCCTTTTTTCTTCTTCTTGTTGATAGATATTATCTTTTTCATGTTTGACAACAATAATGCTTTATGATATTTCCTTGACCCCTTTCTATCTAAACTTGCTCATGTGTTCACGTTCCACTTGGCTTGGATGTTGGTTGTAGTGAGAAAAGGTGTTTATTGGAAACTTGTGGCTGATGTTTTTATCATGAAAATAATGGCATTCTGACCTTTTGAGTTTCTGGCTCATGTTTGAATGCTTGAATGTTGTAAAGAGCTTGCGACACTAAGTTGTTCTGGAAGTGATAGAGGCTTCACTTCACATGGTGATTTTAAATATCTTCACTTCACATAGTGATTTTAAATATCACTCAATTGCCATTTCAAGAGGATCATACGGAATGCTGGGAATTGAATTGTTGTGAGCTTGCTAGTAAGACTCTTGGTCTATTCAGTGCTTCAAACTCTCAAGTTCACCAGTTGACCATGTTCTTTGGTAGATAAATATCAATATAAGATAGATATCACCTATGTCACACTATGCTGTGTGTTAGCTTATGCACAATTGTATATTTTTTTATGTCATATGCATGTCATAACTTTGCAGCATTTGATAATCTGGTCTTATTATTCTCTTCGTGTAATATTATGCTTTTAGATCCAGACTATGTGCCATCACCCTATTCTGCCTCAACTCAAAACTTCTGGTTTCTATCTTATATTTTGGCTCTCTTATGGTGGTCCCAGGCATCAGATTATCTGGAACAGGCTGAATATGACACTCGGCATGTAACAGATGATCTTAGAACGCAGTCACTTGTGAGGCAGCTGGTTTATAATCCCAAGTTAGAATCTGCATGCCCAGTGCCATTTGACGAAGCAAAACTATGGAAGGGACAAAATGGACCTCAGCTGATGCAGCAAATTCAAAAGCAATTTCGGAACATCAGGTTTGTGTCTGTCTATCCATCACCCTATCTATATGCATCCATTTATCCATCTATATGCATGCTTGTGAAAGTGGACAATATCAGTTTTCTCCCAACTTTTCTACCTCCAATCTCATCTTCTTGGTTCCCTTATTAAGGAAATAAAGAACCGTGATAATTGATACTGATTGGTTGCAGTGCTTTAATGGACTGTGTTGGTTGTGAGAAGTGTCGCCTGTGGGGCAAGCTTCAGGTTCTTGGGCTTGGCACAGCATTGAAGATCCTTTTCTCAGTTGATGGTCAAAATCGCTTGGCTGAGCCTGTAAGCTCTTATTAAATTATACTCCTTCCTCTTATTAGGTTAATTTTTTAGGGTGGTGATAAATCTAATTTTTAATTTAGTCTTGCTAATGCATATTGCAAGTTTTAGGAATGGTACGTCCTTCAAAATGAGAGGTTTTCTCCCTAATTTCTTTTTCTTTTTCTTTTTTTAAATGTAAATGAACTATGCTAAAACGTAGAGAATATAAGTTCTAGACACATAAGAACGATGAACTTTGTATTTATTGATTCCTTTATGAAAGATATGAAGTTTAGTTTAAAGTTCAAACAATTATGAGATTTTTTTCTTCGTTTCTTAAAAGTTATGATCTTTTTTATCCTTTTCTTCAGGATACTCAACAAAAAAAAACAGTTAAAAAAAAACGTTAGTCCTTTTCTTTCTTTGCAGAATTTTCTTCTTCTTTTTTTTGGTTGGTTCTCCGGGAATTCCTTGAGATGACATATAATTTTTAAAGCCTTTGAGAAAATTATCTCATCTAGAACTTTTCAAGATTTGCTCACACATGGATTTAGCTTAGAGAAGTGCGTCATGGGGGGTCTTACAAATATGGCATTCTACATGGTGAAGCTCTTGTATTTTGTCTCTTTCTAACAGTTGCAGCTGCAAAGGAATGAGGTGATAGCTTTGTTGAACCTTCTGAACAGACTATCAGAGTCTGTTACGTCAGTGCGCGAAATGGGTCCTGCAGCAGAGAGACTAATGGAAGGTAGGGCCACCAGTTCAGGTGGCAAGGGTAGCTCATAGAGAAGAAATAGACAATTTCATAACACGACATTGACGTGCCGTACATATGAATCATTTTATGGTGAAGTTTAATCACCCCATTGGTCAATCCACATGATGTAACCAATAGAATGCATACAGAGAGTACCTTGTGTCATTTTTGAGATAGGAAGCTCTGCTTCAAGAGAGAGGGCAGCCCATTATAACTGCAACATGGGATACACGCAAGTTCATGTATTTCATTGAGGCATTTTGCCATAAATTATGTATTTTTTTGAGGCATTTTCTTATGTTTTGTGAGCATTGGTTGTGTATGACTCGATGAGAGTTTATCCTTGTAAAATATCCAACTACTTGCAATCTCTCTCTCTCTCTCTCTCTTTCTATATATATATATATATATATGAAAAATCTTAACAGGAAGATATTGAAAGAAAGGCTTATGTGATCTTTTGCCGAGGAAATATATATATATATATTTTTTAATAATAATCATCCTTTATAATTTTGGCAACAAAATCACTCACAAATGATCTTATTACAAACAATAGATATTTCAAAAATAAATAACACATCAATAAAATAGATCTCAACTACTTGATGCCATTCATATAACCTAATGATGTGCTGGAGAATATGAAATAAAAAACAAGTATAAGATAAAGATGTTGGAGTTTACTTCAACCGAGCTTTTTACACCCCACACTGATTTATCACATTCATTAGTGCGGGATATGTGGCTTAGTTTAAATCTCGAATCGGGAAAATTGATTGCAGCCAAACTATGTAAACACTTTTAATTCTTCATAAAACTCTAACCTCCAAAAACTAACTTAGGCTCCCCTCTAATTTTTTGAACTTTTAGTTTCTTCTTAGGTCTAGGGAGAAAAAGAGTAGTAGCAATCTTTAGTTTCTTCTTAGGTCTAGGGAGAAAAAGAGTAGTAGCTAGAGTTGGGGTGTAGCCCTTCTTTTGAAACTTTAGGATAGAGAGGGTTAGAGAGACAAACTTAGAGAAGAGAGAGTGGGGTGTGCCTTTGAAAGAGAGAGAGAAAATTGGAGAGAGAGAGAGATTGTTATTATTTTAGAGATGGGAAAGAACTCCCATATCTATAGAGAAAATAAGATCTAGGGTTTATTTAGGGTTTCCTATAGTTTGCCTCTTTCTTGATATTGAATCTGTACCGTTGATCAAGGTGATTTGTGGGGTGAAAGATCTGAGTCATCCATTCCATAGAAGGGCCATCAATATTATGGAAGGTGCTTGGACCATTATCCCCCTTTTCTAAATCATTTTCCCATCAATATATTTAGATAAAATAGATATCATGCATTCCATAAAAATAGCATGATCATATCACATATTCCGTAAGGATATGTCAAACATTATCAAGTAAATAAATACTACCAAAAATTTTAAACAAGATTAGGCCAATGTTTATCATCTATTCAAATTGACCATATCCCTTTTAAAGCATACTTATCATATTACAAAATATGTCATGGCCGCTAAATCCTTTCCAAGATTTGACCCTATGCCTCAAATCAAAATTACCATAATCTTAAAGACCTTGATCACAAAGAAACAAGAGGAATCCAAAGGGTGGGGTGTGCCACCCCTTTGTGGCATATGTGGGTCCCTACCCACGTACCACATGGTGGGCCCATGTGCACTTTGGGCCCCCATGGAATTTTATAAAAAAAAATTAAAATTAAATAAAATCAATTAATATATATTTGAATTTTTACAACTTTGTAAAATCAATAACTGTATTTTTATAAGTCCAAAAATCATAATTAAAATAGTGAGAGATTCATAAAAATTCAAATAATAAAAATAAAATCATTTCAATAATAAAATGAACGCAATTAAATTAATATGATGGGAAAATGATCCATATGGTTTTAGGAATTCAATCGGTAATAATGGGGTACTTCACCTTCGACTGTGGACTACAAACTACACTAGCTTTATCGAACCGACCCAGTGTTTCCCATGACCCACAATCCAAGCAGAGGCTTATTAGCGGGTCATCAAAGTTAGGCCGATGAATCAAGGGGTCACAATCCCAGTCTGTGGATTACATGTCATTCCCTAGAGACGAGTGAAGGTCACCACGACCTGATGCGACTACAGTTCTATGGTGCATAGGAGTATCTCTCGCACATGCATACGCTTCACCCAAAGGTGGATATCTGGCTTTCTCGAACGATTTATCAATATGCATGTCGTGTGATGGAACATGGATAAGGTTTTGGCCCTCGTCTCAATAGGCCTACCATCACACACAAGGGTCACATAGTCCCTCGGCTCTCTTATCTAGGCATAAGCTCTAACCTCATCAAGGGCTAACTCAAAACCCTCCTCGGTTAATTCTTTATGCCCAGGTACCTTGGGTTTTACAATTGACTGGCCTAGATCGATAAGCACAGTCCGGTATAAGCAAATATCATTCGCTTAGTATGGTCCTCGAGGGACCACAATCCCACTGAGTTTATGTTTCACTATAATAAAAGTATTTTAATACACATTCATAAGGCCTTTAAAGGCCACATAAACCCAATAGATATGAGTCTAGTATTTGAATTTTAATATTTTTTCTACAAATCCAAATCACTTGAAATTTTAGAATGTGCTCATAAAAAATAGGTGAATCTTCGAAAAATATCAAAAAAATATTTTACATGAAAAAAGTAACCAAAATACCCCCGTAAAATTTTTGGGGGTATTTTGATCAATTTTATTTTTACAGATTTTTTTTATATATTTTTATTAGGTGCGGCTTGATGAGAAGAACAAACGACTAAAATTTCAAGTGATTTGGATTTATAGAAAATAAAATAAAATTTAAACACAAAATGAGGTTGTGACTGTCAGATCGGTCTAGATTCAATCTGAG